CAGGATGTTATCCTCATCTTCCATTTGAGGGAACAAGGCGCAGAGAGGTGACTTACTCAAGGGGACAAGGTCACACAGCCAAAAAGTGGCAGAGCAAGTATTTGTGTCAGATCTTGGCTGTGGGGTCTGCGTTTTAACTATTAGGCTTGTTCATGCCAGAAACCACTACTGCTATTATTGCCACTACTAAAATGTATATGTAGGAATATATATATATATATTTTTTTTAAAGATAGAGTTTTGCTCTTGGCATGACCTAGGTTCACTGCAAACGCTGCCTCCCCGGTTCAAGTGATTCTCCTGCCTCAGCCTCTTGAGTAGACGGTATAACAGGTGCTCAACACTAGGCCCAGCTAATTTTTTTTTTTTTTTTTTATGGCAGCACTTTTATTTTTCCTCACACAATGATGCGTTGCTGGGACCTAATGTTCTCACATAACAGTAGAAAACCAAAGTCTGTTGCCATCTCTTTAAAGAATCGAGAGCTGGGTACAAGCAGACCTTACATCAATGAAAAGGACGAACACATTTACAGGTGTAAATGCAAACCGCTTCCAACTCAAGGCAAGTAACAGCCCACACTGCTCTGGCAGGAAAACAGCAGCTAAGAAGGGAATCTGGGTCCTACGGCTTGGACTTTCCAACCCTGACGGACTGGCAGCCCTTGCCAGCCTCTAGAGCAATCCCAGAACACTCAGCCCTGACACATGGATACCCTGCACAGATAGGAGACTGCTGGCCACACAGACTCACCAAGCCAGACTTGTCTGCCACAAGCACGTTCTTACCTCAGCCACAAAATGAGCAAGCCACATGTAGTAAGTGTTGAGAGCAAAGATATGTACAGGATATTAAACAAATACCGAGGGGGACAGTTAACTTGAATACAGGTCAGAATCAGCAACAAGTTCTACAATCCAGTGCTGATGTCAGATACAAGCTTCAAGGACAATTTTTTTTTCGAAGGCTTATTCCAGTTTCATGAGGCTAGCATGAGGTGTATGCATCTGTCAGGGGAAAATTTATACTTCTGAATTAACCCATGCAGCAAATGCCACGCATCTGCTCGCAGTCCATTTAGAAGCATTTGTGGTGGACGATGGAGGGGCCAGACTCGCTCTACTCCTGCTTGCTAATCCACATTTGCTGGAAGGTGGACAGTAAGGCCAGGATGGAGCCACCGATTCACACAGAGTACTTACGCTCTGGGGAAATGATGACCTTGATCTTCATGGTGCTGGGTGCCAGGGTGGTGATCTCCTTCTGCATCCTGTCGGCGATGCCTGGGTACATGGTGGGGCCGCCAGACAGTACTGTGTTCGTGTACAGGTCTTTGCAATGTCCACGTCACACTTCATGATGGAGTTGAAGGTGGTGTCGTGGATGCCACAAGATTCCACGCTGAGGAAGGAAGGCTGGAACAGCACCTCCGGACACTGGAACCGCTTGTTACCGATGGTGATGACCTGGCCATTGGGCAGCTCCTAGCTCTTCTCCAGAGAGGAGGAGGATGCGGCTGTGGCCATCTCCTGCTCTAAGTCCAGGGCGACATAGCACAGCTTCTCCTTGATGTTGCACACGATCTCCTGCTCCGCCATGGTGATGAAGCTGCAGCCGTGCTCAGTGAGGATCTTCATGAGGTAGTTGGTCAGGTCCCGGCCAGCCAGGTCCAGATGCAGGATAGCGTGCTGAAGGGCATAGCCCTCATAGATGGGCACTGTGTGGGTGACCCCACCTCCAGAGTCCATGACAATGCCTCTGGTGCGCCCAGAGGCGTAGAGGGATAGCATGGCCTGGATAGCCACGTACGTGGCCGGGGTGCTGAAGGTCTCAAACACGATCTGAGTCACATTTTCTCTGTTGGCCAGGGGGGCCTTGGTCAGCAGCACGGGTGCTCCTCTGGTGCCACACATAGCTCGTTGTAGAAGGTGTGGTGCCAGATTTTCTCCATGTCATCCCAGTTGGCGACGATGCTGTGCTTGCTCTGGGCCTCGTCGCCCACATAGGAGTTCTTCTGACTCATGCCAATCATCACGCCCTGGTGCCGAGGGCGCCCAACAATGGAGGGAAACATGACTCGGGGGCGTCGTCCCCAGCAAAGCCAGCTTTGCACATGCAGGAACCATTGTTGATCATGAGCGCAGGAATTTCTTCTTCCACTGTGACCGTTGGAGAAGTGGGGCAGCAGAGCGGCAGGAGAACACGGTACATGAGCTGGCAGCAGTGCCTGAGCGCCCAGCCCAATTTTTGTATTTTTAGTAGAGATGGGGTTTCACCACATTGGCCATGCTGGTCTCGAACTCCTGACCTCAGGTGATCCACCCTCCTTGGCATCCCAAAGTGCTGGGATTACAGGCGTGAGCCACTGCGCCTGGCCAATTTATATATATATTCCTTTTCAAATACACACACACACACACACACACACACATACACATATATATATTTTTAGATGGAATCTTACCCTGTCTCCCAGGCTAAAGTGCAATGGTGCGATCTCAGCTCACTGCAACCTCTGCCTCCTGGGTTCAAGCAATTCTGCCTCAGCCTCCCAAGTAGCTGAAATTACAGGCCTGGGCCTCCATGCCCAGCAAATTTTTTGTCTCTTTAGTAGAGACACGGTTTCACCATGTTGGCCAAGCTGGTCTTGAACTCCTGACCTTGTGATCCACCTGCCTTAGTCTCCCAAAGATCTGGGATGACATATATAAGCCAGGCCAATTAATGTATCTTGTTAAAGAGGCTCCATTTTTAAACTTTAACACCACCCTTAGCTTCTTCCTAAGCCATCATATCCATGAAATGATGGATCTGATATTTTACATATACATACACGTACATATGTACACACACACACCCATATATCTACATACATATACATATCTTTCCTAGTGCACACAGAAATAAATCACCAACTATTAAAAAACCTTTGGGGGCTGGGCACAGTGGTTCTTGCCTATAATCCCAGCACTTTGGGAGGCCAAGGTAGGAAGATTGCTTGAAGCCAGGATTTCAAGATCAGCTTGGGCAGCACAGTGAGACCTCGTTTCTAAAACAAACAACAAACAGTGTGGGATATGGTGGACAGCACTGTGCGCTGGTATATGGCAGACACACACTCAGTACAGCTAGTCTGCTTATTGTCAAAGCCTGAGCTGTGTATTGAGTTTCTACTACTTCAAGAAGCCCTCCCTGGTCTTGCCCCACTGCCAGCTGCCCTATCGGGACTCCCTCTGTCATCTTAGGAGGTGTTAGAGTTGCCACCAAATTGGGTGTCTTCCTCTCTGCTCCATGCTGGAGGCCACCTCAAGGCACAAACTGGATTTTACCACCTCGGTGTCCCAGCGCCCAGTCCAGGACAAGGCACCCGATCAGGAAGGGTGTGTGTCTGAGGGTGGGTATAAACTTGCCAGAGTCCACATTAAGGATCATGGCCAAGCAGCTCCATCTGACCCCAAGTGGCTGGGAGTTAATCATCAAACCTGGGGAGATCACAAACAGCCCAAGAAGGATGTACATCTGTGCTGCCTGGTCTTCCTGCACCCACTTTCCAAATAGGGAAAGTGAGGCCCAGAGATGGCATGATCTGCTTTGGTTCACACAGTGAGATGGGGCAGACACAAGACAAGAATTTGACCATGTTATCCCCCCGCCTAAAGCCTTCTGTGGCTCTCTAGTGCCCCTGGGTAAGGTCCAAACTTTGGATTGGTACAAGCATCCCTGTGGACTCTGATCTCTGCTGGTGTCTCCAGCCCCAACCCCATTTGCTTCCTCACCCTTGCTTTCTCCCTCCCAGCCCCGCTGGATACTTCCCTGACCCTGGAACACACCATGTTTTTCATTTCCAGACCTTTGCCCTCCCTGTGCCAGACTCCTGGCTTCACTCAGACTTCCCCTCCTCCAGGAAGCCTTCCCAGCCCCCTAGGGCCAGGTGGGGTGCCTGCTCTGGATTAGAAAGCCCTGCCCACTCCTCAGCTGCCAACGTCCGATAGCACTGATGATAATTGCTATTGCTCTCGAATGGCCCCCGAGGGCTTTGAGAAGGCAGGGGACATGCCATCTTGTTTAAGGCCAAAGTGCAGGGATTGGCATATAGTAGGTGTCCAATATTTATTGAATGAATGGTCATTCATTTGAGTAGTAAATAATTGCGTGGGTTCTCATGTTGGTGTAAAATATCAGAGACGCAGAGGTGCTTCAGACAAAAATATACCTTTCCCACATGACGAATAATAATTGTTTTATTGGCTGGGTGCCAAGATTATGCCAGTAATCCCAGCACTTTGGGAGGCCGACGTGGGGGATCACCTGAGATCAGGAGTTTGAGACCTGCCTGGGCAACATGGTGAAACCCCGTCTCTACTAAAAATACAAAAATTAGCTGGGCATGGTGGCAGGTGCCTGTAATCCCAGCTACTCGGGAGGCTGAGGTGGGAGAATTGCTTAAATATGGCAGACAGAGGCTGCACTCAGCCAAGACCGTGCCATTGCAATCCAGCCTGGGCGATGAGTGGAACTCCATCTAAAAAAAAAAATTGTTTCTTTGTCCCTGTTTTCCCATCTCAGACGTAAGCTGACCCCAACAGGGGTTCAGGGGAAGTGGATGGCATCCGGGACAATCACTGGACCTAAAACGAGAGGATGTGGAGATGCCTGCATCATGGAAGAGCCGGCCAGGGCCTGGGGCAAAGGCTGTCTGCCCCTTGCCGGCTGGGTAGCCTTGGCCAGATAAGTTCCCTTCTCTGAGTTTCAGTTTGCTCATCTGTCAAATGAGACAGGGTGGTCTGTGAGTCATATAGGCAGTGCACGAGTCATAGGCAGTTCACGGGAAGGTAGTGAGGCTTTCTCTCATCCCCTTTCCTCCTCCGTCTTCACCCGGAGCCTTAGGATCTGGAGCTGTGTCTTTAACAAGGGAGGAGGGGCCAAGGTTGCAGGAAGCTGACCAAAGCTGGACAGGGCTGTTTCCCCAGCAGGCTGGAGGACAGCAGCTGCGGCCACGCTGGTCTGGGACAGTCTGGCAGAGAGGTAAGGGGCCTGGGGCCAGCTGGGGCCTCTGGGGCTCAGCGTGTGCGTCAATGAGAGACTGCTGGAGTTTGGGAGGCTTTGGGCAAAGTCCAAGCTGAGCAGGTAGAAGTGAGAGGGGCCGAGCGTGGTCTAGGCCTTCCCAGGAATGTCAATTGAATTCAGGGTGCCCTGCAGAAGAAGGCATGGTGCTGGGGACCCTGAGGGGCGAGAGTGGGTTCTGCTGCCAGAGGAGCAGGGCTGGGCATTCTGCCAGCCAAGGGGCTGGCCTGAGGTGTCCCAGCCTTGGCACCAGGGATTGGGCTGTGGAGTGCCACCCAGGTGGCCTCTGGGGAAAGACTTCAGGGACAAGGGAGGTGGACAGCATTGGTGGGCTTACCTCAACTCAGAGATGTGACAGGTAAGGTCCAGTGACAAAAGTGACTTGGCCAAGGTTGGCATGACTGGGACCTGAGACTAAGCCCCATGATTCCCCCTGGGTTATTCCACACGAGGGAGGACCCAGGTCCCCCATTTCAGCCCCAGTGGCTGCCATACTGGACAAGAGCTGTGTGTCCCCGGGCCAAGACAGCTCAGCCCCAGACCTCAGGTGCCTGATGGGGTCTGGGGTTGATAAGGCTGTTGGCAGCTTGGGGCTTTTTCGTTTAACTGATGCCCACTGTCCTCTTGTGAGTCAGTATAAGCAAGAGAGCTGGGGAAGCCTGGAAACTGAGCCAGCAGCATTTGGTTCCTAAAGACAATTGGCAATATATATTAAATGCCTACAGCTTTCATAAGAGTAATGATGATGCTAATATATTGGAGAATGTATAGCATCGTGGTTAATAGCCCAGATGCCGAAGACACTGCCTGGCTGTGAGTTCTGGCTATGCTGTTTCTAATTGTGTGAACTTAGATAAGGTACTTAATCTCTCTGGGACTCAGGTTCACTGTCTACAAAATGGAGTCAGTGGTGAGTTAATGGTTCACCTGTTGTGGGCCAACAGGTGGCTCATACCTGTTATCCCAGTACTTTGGGAGGCGGAGACAAGAAATTGACCTGAGACAAGAAATTGACAAGAAATTACTCCTGAGGCCAGGAGTAAAAGACCAGCCTGGACCAACTCAGCAAAACTGGGTCTCTATAAAAATTTAAAAATCAGCCAGATGCAGTGGTACATGTTTATAGTTCCAGCTACTCAGGAGGCTGAGGTGGGAGGATTGCCTGAGCCTGGGAGTTCAAGGTTACAGTGAGCCATGATCGCACCAATGCACTCCAGCACAGGTGAGAGAGTGAGACACTGTCTCTTAAAAAACCACCAAAAAACAAGAAAGAGGAAGGATTATGGAGAAGGGGAGTTCATTCTGACAATCCCAGGGTCCCCAGGGGCAAAATCTCGGGATTTTACAAGAAAGGAAGAGGGACCCAATCCCAAGTGGACAGATGCATCAGATCGACCCCTGCCCCCCACCCAGTGGGGTGCCCTTACCAGGCAGGCTCATTGAATCCTCACATGACACAGTCCTGCCATGCATATGCTCTTCTTGCAGTTTGTTGTGTGTTTGGTGAGACAGAGTCTCGCTCTGTTGCCCAGGTTGGAGTGCAGTAGCGTGATCTCGGCTGCAACCTCTGCCTCCTAGATTCAAGCGATTCCCCTGCCTCAGCCCCCCAAGTCGCTGGGACTACAGGTGCGTGGCACCACGTCCAGCTAATTTTTTTGTTTTTTAGTAGAGACAGAGTTTTTCACCATTTTGGCCAGGATGGTCTTGATCTCCTGATCTCGTGATCTGCTGGCCTCAGCCTCCCAAAGTGCTGGGATTACAGACGTGAGCCACCGTGCCTGGCCGGTTTGTTCTCATTTTTCAGTTCTTAGTTTTAATGGTCACCTCCTCTAAGAGGCCTTTTCTGACCTCCATACCCAAAGTAGTTCCCCTTGTTCTTCTCTTTAGGATTCCCTATATGCGTGTTTCCCTCTTAGCAGTTTTCAACATTTCTGATTATTTTGTTTGTCTATGCAGTTATTTGTTAAGCGTCCATCTCCTCATCAGACTATAAGTCAGCTCCAAGGTAGATGTCTATTTTGTCCACAGCAGTATCCCCTGTTGCTAGGTCAGGACCTGCATCTTGTAGGTGCCCAGTAAACATGCTAAAGTAAGGGTGAGCAGGTCAGCATGCTCAAAGCATGACACAAGGTCCAGTGAGATAACGTCTTCAGAGGACTCAGCCAATGACGTATTAGGGAATCAACAAATAATAGATGTTATTCTTTTTTTTTTTTAAGACAGAGTCCCACTCTGTCGCCCAGGCTATAGTACAATGGTGCTATCTCAGCTGACTGCAACCTCTGCCTCCCAGGCTCAAGCGGTTCTCCTGCCCCAGCCTCCCAAGTAGCGGGGACTACAGGCGTGCACTGCCAAGCCCGGCTAATTTTTGTATTTTTAGTAGAGATGGGGTTTCACCATGTTGGCCAGGCTGGTCTCAAATTCCTGACTTCAAGAGATCCATCCGCCTCAGCCTCCCAAAATGCTGGGATTACAGGCGTGAGCCACCGCACGTGGCTGATGTTATTCTTACTGATTTATACTACAACCTGTGAGTTGGGGACTGTTTTTATCCCCATTTCACAGAAGGGGAAACAGGCACAGAGAGGTTGTGACACTTACTTGGGTCACACAGCCAGGAAATCAGAGCTGGTTTTTAACTTTTGTTCTGATCAACCCCAAAGCCTGTGCTCTTGGGGTCCAGGGTTGAGCTGAGGCCCAGGCTGGGGTATGCCGCATTTGGGGATGGGTGATGACCCAAGTTGAGAGGTGCCTTGGATGAGACTGGGAAGAGTCGGCTCAGGCTGTGCCCTGCCTGAGGGGGACCTGAGGATTTCCCACCGCTTTCTGACAAGGGCGCGGGATCAAACCCAGGGCCAAGAGACCTCGATCTCTCTGATCTTGGAACCCCAGCCGTGACTTAAAGGTGGACTTAGGTTTGTGAGTGGGCAGGGGAGGTTGGAGCGCTCCCCCTAGCGGCCAATAATGGAATGGTGGAACCGGCCCAATGCTTTTCTGCCTGGGAGAAGAGGGACTGGCTGTATTTGTTTCTTTTTTTCTCTGCTGCTTTTACTCTCTCTCATTTCCTCCCTCTCTTCTTTCCGTCCTTACCCACTGGTCCATTCGCTTACAACTCCTTGGCTTAAAACCTCCCAATGCGCTGAGCGCGGTGGCTCATGCCTGTAGTTCCAGCACTTTGGGAGGCCAACGCGGGCAGATCTCTTGAGTTCAGGAGTTTGAGACCAGATTGGCCAACGTGATGAAACCCCGTCTCTACAGAAAATACAAAAATTAACCAGGTATGGTGTCGTGCGCCTGTGGTCCCAGCTACTTGGGAGACTGAGGCAGGAGAATCGCTTGAACCCGGAAGGCAGAGGTTGCAGTGAGCCGAGATTGCACCACTGCACTCCAGCCTGGGCGACAGAGCAAGCCTGGGTCCCAAATACCACCACCACCACCACCACCATCACCACTTCCTCCTCCTCCTCCTCCTCCTAATGGCTTTGCATTGCAAGTAGAATTTGAATAACTTCCAAACTTCTCTCTATAGGTGGGAAACCCCTGGCGGCAGCCCTGCCCACCTCTCCGCGCTCACCTCCTCCCCAAACTCCCTCTCTCTGCAACAGCAGCACTCCAAGTGCATTCCTCCCTGGAGGCGGTCCTGGCTGCTGTTCTCTGCAGGAATGCTTTTCCTCTTGGCGCCCTTCCTGTCATCCATTTCAAAGTTCCCCTTTCCGGAATATACAGATGGAGAGAGAGTTAAAAGACCCCTCAGCCAATCAAAATGCACGCATCTGATTTGCAACCTGATTCAAACGTGAAAAACCCCAAACCACAACCAACCACAGAATCAGCCACGGATCATATTTAATGGGCTGATTTGAAATGCAAATAATTACCAGATATTTTATGATATGAAGAAATTATATTTTTAGATGTGATCATTTTCTTAAAAATTGTGATTACATTTTCTTAAAAAATTAGCCTCAGTGAGGTATAATTTACATAAAATAAAATTAGCCCACTTTAAACATAGAATTCAATGTGAATTCCATATTCACATCGAAATGAAACCATATGGTTACATATAAAAAAGGAGTTCTTAAGCCAGATGCAGTGGCTCATGCCTGTAATCCCAGCACTTTGGGAGGCTGGGGCAGGAGAATCCCTTGAGTCCAGGAGTTTGAGACCACTCCGGGCAACACAGTGAGACCCTATCTCTACAAAAAGGGACAAAAATTAGCTGGACGTGGTGGTGTGCGCCTGTGGTCCCAGCTACTCCGGAGGCTGAGTTGGGAGGATGGCTTGAGCCTGAGAGATTGAGGCTGCAGAGAGCTGTGATTGCAGTACTGTACTCTAGCCTGAGTGACAGAGTGAGATCCTGTCTCCAACACAGAAGTTCTTTACCTCTAGAGATACATGCTGAAATATTTACAGATGAAATAATATAAAAGAAAAATGTAATCGTAATTAAGGGTAAATAATAATACAGGAAGGAGGAGTAGGCCCATGGGAAGCGAGTTAGACCATGAGCTGATGATTGCTGAAGATGCAGGGTTTTTTTTTTGTTTGTTTTTGAGACAGAGTCTCACTCTGTCACCCAGGCTGGAGTGCAGTGGCACAACCTTAGCTCACTGCAACCTCCGCATTCCAGGTTCAAGTGATTCTCCTGCCTCAGCCTTCTGAGTAGCTGGAATTACAGGTGCATACTGCCACGCCCAGCTATTTTTTTTGTATTTTTGGTAGAGATGGAGTTTCACCACGTTGGCCAGGCTGGTCTCGAACTCCTGACTTCAAGTGATCTGCCTGCCTTGGCCTCCCAAAGTGCTGGGATTGTACACGTGAGCCACCATGCCTAGCCAGCTGAAGGCCTTTATACAGTTCTTAATATTTTTGCTATATTTACGTTTTCCATTACAAACGTTTTTACAAAGTTTTCCTCCCGAGAGATCTTTCCTGACTGCGCTTACTAAAATAACACCTCATACCTTCTGCAAGTCACTCTTGTTTGTAATTCTGCAATTTTTCCTAGTGGGAAGTTTATATGACTCATGGGTCCCCAAACCTGGAAATGCCTGGCACATAGTAGGTGCTCAATAAGTATTTTTTGAATGATGAATGGATTCTCCCACTCCCTCATTCATTCCTCCGCATATATTGTCCACATTTTATATCCCCGGCACTGTGGACAGCCACACTTATAGAATGAAAGGACCCCAGGTCAAACTTCTTTGACCAGATGGGAAAACTGAGGCCCAGAGTGGAAAAGATACTTGACAGGGGTCTCACAGCTTGGCAGCTGGATGGGGCCAAGGGCACCTAAGCCAAGGGCTTTCTCCACCTTCCCCTTTCCTGTCCTGGTTAAGGAAGCTCTTGACAGGAACTGCCTGGTGGTGACCTCCTGCAGGCTAGCTACCTGGTCTCCAGAATGGACAGGCCTGTGGTGGAACGTACCAAGCAGGAGCCCTTCCACGTGGTCACGCCTCTGTTGGAGAGCTGGGCACTGTCCCAGGTGGCAGGAGTGCCTGTCTTCCTCAAGTATGAGAATGTGCAGCCCAGCGGCTCCTTCAAGATTCGGGGCATTGGGCATTTTTGCCAGGAGGTGAGGTCGTGTGGGCAGGAGGGGAGAAGTGAACTATATAGGAGGGAGGGAGGAGTGAGGGGTGTGGGCTGAGGATGGATTCAGGCAGGAGGGAAACATGAAGAAATGCAGATGGGAGAATAGAGGTGAGGGCAGGGCTGTGGGCAGGATGAGGGGTAAAGGCGTGTTGGGAGTAGGGTGGGGAGATTCTAACCCCATTCCACATACACCTTCATGACACCAGCTTGGGTTAGCCCCTAACCCCATTCCTTCTCTTCCCAGATGGCCAAGAAGGGATGCAGACACCTGGTGTGCTCCTCAGGTGACCCCACCCTTTTTTGTTTCATGGGGGTCCTCAGGGCAGAGGTTGGGGGAGGAGGAGCTAGCTGGAGCCACAGAACATGTTCAGGGCTTGGTCTCCTCTTCGGCCAGGCGCGGTGGCTCAACGCCTGTAATCCCAGCACTTTGGGAGGCTCAGGCGGGTGGATCCCAAGGTCAAGAGATGGAGACCATCCTGGCCAACATGGTGAAACCCTGTGTCTACTAAAATACAAAAATTAGCTGGGCGTGGTGGTGCATGCCTGTAATCCCAGCTACTCCAGAGGCTGAGGCAGGAGAATTGCTTTAACCTGAGAGGCAGAGGTTGCAGTGAGTCGAGATCGCACCACTGCACTCCAGCCTGCAGCCTGGCAACAGAGCAAGCCTCTGTCTCCAAAAAAACAAACAAACAAAAAAAAGGCTCCAGCCCCATCAAGGTCGTTGATGAGATGGCTACTGTGTTTCCCAACCTAGCCCTCTCCCATAGTTCAGGACTCACGGTGGCAGCAAGTGCCAGAAACACAATTCATATAGGTTTAAGCTACAGGCTCTGAGAATGGAAAATTCTTGGGATAAGTGGCTTTCAGGAACAGGGGGATCCAGGAGCTCTCCTCTCTGTCTCTCCTTCTCTGGGCTTTGCTTTCCTGTATTCTAGCTTTATTTTTAGGTGGGCGTCATGGTAGCAGATGGCCACCAGGGGGATCCAGGAGCTCTCCTCTCTGTCTCTCCTTCTCTGGGCTTTGCTTTCCTGTATATCAGCTTTATTTTTAGGTGGGCCTCATGGTAGCAGGTGGCCACCAGGAATTCCAGCCTGGCATTCTACCACCCTCCCAACACTAGAGAAAGGGAACACCCCTTGCTAATGCCTTGCCTCAATCCTGGAATTGATCTTTTTTGGTCCTGCTTGGGTGGCATCTTCATCCCTGAACCAGTCGTGGGTTGGGGGTTAGGTTCTCTGATTGGCTCAACCTAGGTCACGTGTCCCCCTCTGGAGTAGAGGAAGGGGTCAGTGGGGCATATGAATGTGGGGGAGGAGTGGCTCTGGAAGGGATATGGAGGGGAGGGGAAGGCATGTCAAAGGCCAGTGCATATCTGCCCACTGCCCCTTTCCTCATTTCTGCACAGGGGGTAATGCGGGCATCGCTGCTGCCTACGCCGCTGGGAAGCTGGGCATCCCTGCCACCATCGTGCTCCCCGAGAACACCTCCTTGCAGGTGGTGCAGAGGCTGCAGGGGGAGGGGGCCAAGGTCCAGCTGACTGGAAAGGTAAGGGCCCCGGGAGGGAAAATCATCTGGAGTGGGCTGTTCCCCTAACACCCCACCACACCCCAAGACATCCTGTCTCCTTTTCCTTTCCGTGAGCTGTGGCTGGGACCCAGTCCTCTCTCAGGATAGCTGAGCTGAGTGGGGAATGAGGTGTGATGGGTGTTGAGGGCTGGGACCTCCCGACTTGCCCCTGCCTACCCTGAGAAGTACCCCCCATGTGTGAACCAAGACAAATGGGAAGCTGGCAATGGACAGGAGACTCTGTCTACTGACATCCTCACCAGCACCTGTTACTGTCCACTTTTAACATTCTTGCTATTAGATAAGACAAGAGATGTCAGTGTCAGTTCCAGTTCTGAGACCGCCCCAGTAGGAATGGTGTCTGCTGAGAAGGATACTGCCGGTTCCCTGTGTTACCAGAGAAGCAGAGACACAAAGTCTTTCTTTCCTTCTGGGAAGAAGGAAAAATTTCATTCAAATAATGGAAAACAGATATTTAAACCTCTCAAAATTAAAATGAAAATCCATACTATGCTACCGCAAAGCTGGTCCCAAATACTTCCTGTATATAGTTTCTTCCCTTCCTTCCCTTCTTCCTTCCCTCCTTCCTTCCTTCCCTCCCACCCTCCTTCTTTCCTTCCTTCCTTCTTTCCTTCCTCCCTCCCTCCCTCTCTCTCCCTTCCCCTCCTCTCCCCTCCCCTCCCCTTTCCTCCCCTCCCCTCCCCTCCCCCCCTTTTTTCTCCTTCCTTTCTTCCATTTCTTCATCCATCTAATCATCCTTCCATACATCACCCTTTCTCCCTCCCTCCCTCTCTTCTTCTTTCTGTCCATCTATCCATCCATCCATCCATCCATCCATCCACTCACCCATTCATCCAACAGGTATTCATTGAACACATATTCAGCACCTGCTATGTTAGACATTCTAGAAACAGAGAGAGTAAGACATGGTCTTTACCCTCATACATTTCAGAGTATTATGTGGAGACACACAGGTAACCAGATGATGGTAACAGAGTGCAAAGAGTGTTGCCATGGCGGAAGCACAGGGTACCAAGGAAGTCAGTGAGAGGGCATTTGTTTAGTCAGCAATTGTGGCTTGGTAATGCTGCATAACAAACATCCCCCAAATAGCAGAAGCTTTTGAGAAACATTGTTTTTCATACTTTGGGTCTGTGGGTGGGTTAGGGTGGTTCTGCTTCAGAATTCGGGAAGGAGTGAGGTTTGCAGATGTGCCCTTTGTCTCCCCCAGTCAGTGGCCACCTGGGGCACGTTATTCTCAAGGGAAATGGCAACAGGGATGAGAAGAAACATGTGATGCCTCTTAAGATCTTGGCCCAGAACTGTTACACTGTCAGTTCTGCCACATGCTGTTGGCCAGAGCAAGTCACACAACTGAGACCAACATCAACGGGGAGGGGGCATGTGCTCCACCCACATGAAAGAACAGCAAAAATAAAATAAATAAAAAATAGGGTCGGGCGTGGTGGCTCACGCCTGTAATCCTAGCACTTTGGGAGGCTGAGGTGGGTGGATCACCTGAGGTGAGGAGTTCAAAACCAGCGTGGCCATTATGGTGAAACCCCATCTTAAAAAAAAAAATCTGGGTACTGTGGCATGCACCTGTAGTCTCAGCCATTCAGGAGGCTGAGTTGGGAGGATCACTTGAGCCCAGGAGTTTGAGGCCAGCCTGGGCAACATAGTGAGACCATGTCTCTAACAATAATAACAATTAAGCCAATAGAGGGAGGGAGTGGAGAATTGGGCCATGGTCGAACCAATGGGCTGCGCCTTAGATTTGAGAAAAGGGTCCAGGAAAGGCTCCTGTCATGGGTCCCCAGGGCTGGGTATGAAAGGAGAGATCTGAGTCCCCACCACGGAGACAAGGGAGGCCTGATCTGGTTGTGAGCACAGGAAAGGGTGTGAGTGAAGGTGTGGCCCTTGCTGAGCATGTTGCATTCAGGCTGAGCCCAGCATGGAGGGAGGGAGTGAAGGGTGAGGCTGAAGATGGGGAGAGGGGCTCCATCAGGCAGGGCGGCTTGTAGCTGAAGCTAAAGCGTTTCACCTGAGGGCACTAGGGAAGCATGAAAAGAGTCTGAGCAGGGGAGGGACCTGGTTGGATTTTCACTCGGCCTGCTCTGGGGTGATTCAGGAGAGGAGCTGGAGAGGAGGCTGCTTGGTGCGCTACGGGTCAGGGATGTCAGGTACTACACAGTGTCGAATCTATTTTTTTCTTTTTTTTTTTTTTGAGACGGAGTTTCGCTCTTGTTACCCAGGCTGGAGTGCAATGGCGCGATCTCAGCTCACCACAACCTCCGCCTCCTGGGTTCAGGCAATTCTCCTGCCTCAGCCTCCTGAGTAGCTGGGATTACAGGCGCGCGCCACCATGCCCAGCTAATTTTTTGTATTTTTAGTAGAGACGGGGTTTCACCATGTTGACCAGGATGGTCTCGATCTCTTGACCTTGTGATCCACCTGCCTCGGCCTCCCAAAGTGCTGGGATTACAGGCTTGAGCCACTGTGCCCGGCCAATTTTTTTTATATTTTTAGTAGAGACAGGGTTTCATTATGTTGATCGGGCTGGTCTGGAACTCCTGACCTCAGGTAATCTACCCACCTCGGCCTCCCAAAATGCGTCATTATAGGCATGAGCCACTGTCCCTGGCTGACAGGTATTTCTTTTCTTTTTCTTTTTTCTTTTTGAGATGGAGTCTTGCTATGTCACTAAGCTGGAGTGCAGTGGTGCGATCTTGGCTCACTGCAACCTCTGCCCCCCAGGTTCAAGCAATTCTTCTGGCTCAGTCTCCTGAGTAGTTGGGACTACAGGTGCATGCCACCATTCCAAGCTAATTTTTGTATTTTAGTAGAGACGGGGTTTCACCATGTTGGCCAGGCTGGTCTCAATCTCCTGACCTCGTGATCTGCCCACCTCAGCCTCCCAAAGTGCTGGCATTACAGGCATGAGCCACCATGCCCAGCCGACAGGTATCTTTCAACCTCTGCCACTCTCCCTCTCTCCCCACTGTTGGAGTCCTCAGTGTCTCTTGTTCCCATCTTTGTGCCCATGCGTACCTAGTGTTTAACTCCCAGTTATAAATGAGAATAGGCAGTGTTTGGTTTTCTGTTCTTGAGTTAATGCTCTCAGGATAACGGCCTCCAGCGGCATCCATGTTGCTGCAAAGGACGTGATTTTCTTTTTTATGGCTGCATAGTATTCCATGATGTATATGCACCACATTTTCAGCATCCAATCCACCACTGATGGGCACCGGGGTTGATTCTCTGTCTTGGCTATTGTGAATACTGCCGATGAACATACAAATGCGGATCTTTTTTGTAAAACGGTTTATTTTCCTCTGGGTAGATACTCAGTCATGGGATTGCTGGGTCAAATGGTAATTCTATTTTTAGTTCTTTGAGAAATCTCCAAACTGCTTCCTACAGGGGCCGAACTAATTTTCATTCCTACCAACAGTGTATTTTTTTGGTTTCAACAACTCAGGGGAATGAGGCTCCTCTCTTCAGCCAGATGGGAAATTCTCTGTGGTCAGAGACCATTTCTTTGGCTTCGCTGCTGCTGAAGAGTCCCCATGCCTAGAACTGGGCACAGAGTGGGCACTGCAGAGTCCCTGAGGATGAGCGGGGGCTATTTCTGCCCCCCTGTGACCCTCCGCTCCTCCCTCGGGAGAGGAGGCTGTTGTCTATCATTTAGTTTCTGTATCCGGTTCCTGCTAAGATTCGCTGGCATGGGGTCCCTCTGAAATGCTGTCTTAGTTTGGGTTCCCCCAAAAGTGGTTCCTGAGACAAGGACTGGGGTGCATGCAGTTTATTTGTGAGGTGGCTGCAGGAAGCCTTGGTAGGGAGTGCGGAAATGAGTCAGAGAAGGGAAGAAAGCCTGTAAATGGTGTGGAATGAGCAGGGGACAGGGATCTCTGCCACAGAGGCCAAGCCAGTGAGAAAAGAAAACCCACCCCCGCTGTGGTTGGCTTGGGTGCATCAGGCTCAGGGCTAGCCTGATGCACGATCTCTCTGGCTGCTTGAACTCAGCTAGCAGGTCATCAGCTGGGCCATTGCTGATTTTCACCAACACACGCTAAGGTGACCACATTGATATCTGGGGTTTGATTTTAGGGGCTTCTCCCCTACTGATCAGCTAGAAGCGGGCACCACATGGCTGACCTTGGAGCTGACCCTGCTTCCGGCCTCCCTGGCTGGCTTGGCCTGGCCTGGTTTTCATGGTGGGGAAGCAGGATGAGTCTCTTCGGTATTGTGGAAAGCACATGGCATCTGTTTGTCCCCCTGGAAGCGCTTGTCTGTGTCTCAGGAGGCCTCTGGGCCCACACTAGGTCTGGTCTCATCCCCAGGGGTGTCCCCAGACTATTGGATCATGGGGCCACCAAGGTGAGCCTGGACCTCTGCTCTGGCCTCCACAGCAGTCCCACTCCTGGCTCTTCTGAGGGTCCTTGATTTCTCTGTAGGTCTGGGACGAGGCTAATCTGAGGGCACAAGAGTTAGCCAAGAGAGACGGCTGGGTGAATGTCCCCCCATTTGACCATCCCCTAATATGGTAAGTCTGATGCCCCTCTCCCCAGGGAGTCCAGAGCTGGGAGACCCTTACTGAGTCAGGGTCCTCCCATTGGACAGAAGGAGAAACTGAGGTTCAGAGGGGAGAATAAGCTTCAAAGCCAGGCAGACATGGGTTCAGATCCCACTTATGCCTCTTGTGAATTGTGGGACTTTGTGCAAAGCACCCAGCATCCTGTGCCTCAGTTTCTTTTATTCTTTAATTTTTTTATTTTTTGAGACGGAGTCTCGCTCTGTTGCCCAGGCTGGAGTGCAGTGGTGTAATCTTAGCTCACTGCAACGTCTGTCTCTTGGGTTCGAGTGATTCTCCTGCCTCAGCCTCCCGAGTAGCTGGGATTACAGGTGTGCACCACCATGCCAGGCCAATCTTTTGTATTTTTAGTGGAGATGGGGTTTCACCATGCTGGCCAGGCTGGTCTCGGCCTCCCAAGGTGCTGGGATTGCAGGCATCCTGTTCCTCAGTTTCCGTGTATGTGGAGGTGATAGTACCAAGTCTCCTTTACCAAACGTGTGCTTTGAGACTGGTCACCAGGCTCGTGGCTCCTCCTGAACCGTTCCGTTTACCCTCCCCACAGCCCTAGAGGTGGGTGCTGTTGTCTGCATTTCATAAGTGAGGAAACTGAGGCACAGCGAGGTGGAACGACGTGTCCAAGATTACACAGCTAAGAATGTGGCAGAGACAGAGAGCCACAGGGCCGGGACTTGAGTCAGTTTGGTCCCAAGTGATATACTGTCCCCTCTTAACCACACATTGCCATTGCCTCTTTGCAAAGTTGGGGAGGGGACTAAAGGGGGTATATCCAAGAGAGGGCCTGGGAGGTTGGTGGAGGTGGAAGGGATGCACGAACATGATAACGAAAACGAACGAGTCCCGTGCGCGGTGGCTCCGGCCTCACACCAGGGTGTAATCCCAGCACTTTGGGAGGCCGAGGCACATGGATCACCTGAGGTCAGGAGCTTCAGAACATCCTGGCCGACATGGTGAAACCTCGTCTCTACTAAAAATACAAAAATTAGCTGGGTGTGGTGGTGCGTGCCTGTAGTCCCAGCTACTCCGGAGACTGAGGCAGGAGAATCACTTGAACTCGGGAAGTGGAGGTTGTGGTGAGCCGAGACTGGGCCACTGCACTGCAGCCTGGGTGACAGAGTGAGACTCTGTATCCAAAGAAATAAAAATAAAGAGAATGAATGAAGCTGAATGGAGTAACTGTTGCAGGACTTCCTCTCCCTTTGCTGTGGATGGGATGGGATGGTGGGGAGGGGGTTTATATATATGTGGGGCAGGGAACCCACCCATGGTAAATACCCCCACCCCAGGAGCCTTTGGGGCTGGGGTCCTCCCTCACTCTGCTTCTCTCTCTCACCCACCTCCCCAGGGAAGGCCACGCCAGCCTGGTGCGGGAGCTGAAGGCAGTGCTGGGGACCCCACCAGGTGCCCTGGTGCTGGCAGTTGGGGGCGGAGGCCTCCTGGCTGGGGTGGTGGCTGGCTTGCTGGAGGTGGGCTGGCAGCATGTGCCCATCATTGCCATGGAGACCCATGGGGCACACTGCTTCAATGCGGCCATCAAGGCTGGCAAGGTGGTCACATTGCCAGGCATTACCAGGTGGGTAAAGGCTGGGGACATTTGCGGGGGGGCTGGAGGGTGGGGTTGCCACCACCCTAAGGCCTTCCAGTCCCAGCCAGTAGAGACAGGGGACACTCAAAATGCTGTCCTCAGTCCTGGGACTCCAACCACAGTAATGTGGACCTAAGGTAGAAGGCAGTGCTGAAAAAGGAGATGAGGAATATGTTCGTTTAAACCTCATCAATTCATAAAACAAGCTTTCATTGCAGAAAAGTTAGAAAATGTATGCCAGGTGAGGCGGCTTATGCCTGTAATCCCAGCACTTTGGGAGGCTGAGGTGGGTGGGTTACCTGAGGTCAGGAGTTTGAGACCATCTTGGCCAACATATAGTGAAACCCCATCTCTACTAAAAATATGAACATTACCCGGGAGTGGTGGTACACACCTGTAGTCCCAGCTACTTGGGAGGCTGAGATAGGAGGATTGCTTGAGCCCAGGAGTTGGAGGCTGTAGTGTGCTCTGATGGTGCCTGTGAATAGCCACTGCACTCCAGCCTGGAAAACCTAGCAAGACCCTGTCCTCCTCCATACCCCAAAAAGCCAAGAAATTTTATAAAGAACATGATCATTGAATTTAGGACCTACCCTCATCCAATATGACTTCACCTTAATTTAACTAATTACATCCGCAGAGACTCTATTTCCAAGTAAGGTCACATTTCAAGGTTCTGGGTGGGGTTTTTTTTTTTTTTTTTCGAGATGGAGTCTCACTCTGTTTTCCAGGCTGGAGTGCAGTGGTATGACCTCAGCTCACTGCAACCTCTGCCTCTTGGGTTCAAGTGATTCTCCTGCCTCAGCCTCCCAAATAGTTGGGATTACAGGCATATGCCACTATGCCTGGCTAACTTTGTATTTTTAGTAGACACAGGGTTTCACCGTGTTGGCCAGGCTGGTGTTGAACTCCTGACCTCAAGTGATCCACCTGCCTTGGCCTCACAAAGTGTTGGGATTACAGGCGTTGAGCCACCACACGTGGCCTGGTTGTGCACTTTGGAAGGAGCTGTGATTCAACCCAGTACAGATACAATCTCTGCCTGGATTCTGTAAAACACCCATTGGACACTGGTACCCAGGATGTAATGGGGTATGACAGCAAGGTATGCGAAATCAAGACAGTCTGAAGTTAGCTCCTTAAGCATCTACTGTGTGCAAGGCTCTAGGTGGCCAATGAGCCACCTATCAAGAAAATAGGACACAAGTCTCCTTGTCTTTCCAGTACCACCTCCAGTCTTTCTTGGGCTGCATCTGCCTTCCAGCCTTGCTGTGCTATCTTAGCCTGGAAATTCTTTAAAAAAAAATTTTTTTTTTTTTTTTTTTTGGTAGAGATGGGGCATTACTGTGTTGCCCAGGCTGGTCTCGAGTTCCTGGGCTCAAGTGATCCTCCTGCCTCAGCCTCTCAAAGGGCTGGGATTACAGGCATGAGCCACTGTGCCCTGCCTGCCTGGAAATCATTTGTACTGTCTTACTTCTGAACCATTGCTTGTCCTGCCCCTGCCACCTGGATGCCAGTCCTGCTCACCCTGAGGAAATCTTCTTAGACTGCTTAGGCAGCTATATCCCAGCTGGGAGACCCTCAGGGCACTGTGTTGTATCTGTGTCACTCTTTGCTGTGTCTTGGTTTGGGTTACTGGCTGGAGTGGAGGAGTCAGAGGGTAAGGACTGGCTGATTTAGCTCTGATCCTTGATACCCATCCCCGAGACTGGCACAGCAGAAGCACTAAGGGAAGCTCATGGATTATGATGTCTGTAGATGACACCAACATCCATCCAGGTGCTCTGACTGGGCACCTGGGTATCACACGGGCTACCCCTGCTCCATCGAGTTCCATCCATCCTACTTCTTCTTCTTATTTTTTTTTTGAGATGGAGTTTTGCTCTTGTTACCCAGGCTGGAGTGCAATGGCACTATCTTGGCTCACTGCAACCTCCGCCTCCTGGGTTCAGGCAATTCTCCTGCCTCAGCCTCCTGAGTAGCTGGGATTACAGGCACGCGCCACCATGCCCAGCTAATTTTTTGTATTTTTAGTAGAGACGGGGTTTCACCATGTTGACCAGGTTGGTCTTGACCTCTTGACCTCATGATCCACCCGCCTTGGCCTCCCAAAGTGCTGGGATTACAGGCGTGAGCCACCGCGCCCGGCCCCATCCTACTTCTTGAATCCAGCTCCCTTCCAGCCTTCATTTCCCTAGATGGGTGTAACAGCTCTCCCCAGCCCCTGTGCCACCCCCGTTGCCTTTTTAAAAAAATGGATAACACCTCTATTGAGATCTGTTTCATGTGCCATTTGATTTACTTATTTAACGTGTATGATTCCAGGCCAGTGTGGTGGCTCACACCTGTAATCCCAGCACTTAGGGAGGCTAAGGCAGGTGGATCACTTGAGATCAGGAGTTCAGACCAGCCTGGCCAACATGGCAAAACCTCATGGTACTAAAAAATACAAAAATTAGCCAGGCATGGTGACGTGCACCTGTAGTCCCAGCTACTCAGGAGGCTGAGGCAGGAGAACTGCTTGAACTCAGGAGGTGGAGGTTGCAGTGAGCTGAGATCAAGCTACTGCATTCCAGCCTGGGTAACAGAGTAAGACCCTGTCTCAAAAATAAATAAATAAATAAATAGGGCCGGGCGCGGTGGCTCAAGCCTGTAATCCTAGCACTTTGGGAGGCCGAGGCGGGTGGATCACGAGATCAACAGATTGAGACCATCCTGGTCAACATGGTGAAACCCCGTCTCTACTAAAAATACAAAAAATTAGCTGGGCATGGTGGCGCATGCCTGTAATCCCAGCTACTCGGGAGGCTGAGGCAGGAGAATTGCCTGAACCCAGGAGGCGGAGGTTGCGGTGAGCTGAGATCGCGCCATTGCACTCCAGCCTGGGTAACAAGAGCGAAACTCTGTCTCAAAATAAATAAATAAATAAATAAATAAATAAATAAATAAAAAGGTGTACTATTCAATGGTTTTAGTAGATTCACAGAGTTATGCAACCATCATCACAATCAATTTTAGAACATTTTTATCGCCTCCAGAAGAAACTCCACACCCTTTGGCCATCACCCACCATATTCCTTATTCCTCCACCCCAGCCCCAGGCAAATACTACTTTACTTTATGTCTCCACTGATTTGCCTATTATGGACTTTTTTTTTTTTTTTTTTTTTTTCCTTCCTTCCTTCCTTCCTTCCTTCCTTCCTTCCTTCCTTCCTTCCTTCCTCCCTCCCTCCCACCCTCCCTCCCTCCCTTGCTCCCTTGCTCCCTCCTTCTCTCCCTCCCTTCCTTCCTTCTTTCTTCTCTTCTTTCTTTCTTTTCTTATCTTTTGAGTCTGGCTCTGTTGCCCAGGCTAGAGTGCAGTGGTGTGATCTCAGCTCACTGCAGCCTCCGCCTCCTGGGTTCAAAGGGTCGGGATTACAGGCCTGAGGCACTGTGCCTGGCCTGCCTGGAAATCCTTTGTACCATCTTACCTCTGAGCCGTTGCTTGTCCTGCCCCTGCCACCTGGACTGCCAGCCCTGCTCACCCTGAGGACATCCTCTTAGACTGGCTGAGCATTTCTTTTAGTAGAGACAGGGTTTTGCTATGTTGATCAGGCTGATCTTGAACGCCTGACCTCAGGTGATCCACCCGCCTTGGCTTCTCGAAGTGCTGGGATTATAGGCATGAGCCACTACGCCCAGCCTATTCTGGACATTTCACATGAATGGAATCATACACCACGTGGTCTTTTGTGTCTGGCTTCTCTCACTTACCGTCGTGTTTTCAAGGTTCAGCCACATCGTAGCGTGTAGATGCTTCATTCCTTTTTATGGGCAAATACTATTTTACTGTATGAATACATCAACTTTGTCCAAACATTTGGATTCTTTCCACTTTTTGGCTATAGTGAATAGTGCTGTTATGAACATTCGCTTACACATTTTTGTGGCTGTGTTTTCATTTCTCTTGGGTCTATGCCTAGGGAGGAAATTGTTGGTACCTTTGTTACCTTTGAGTCCTTTGCTGTCCCCCAGCAGGCAGTGTGTCCTTCCACCATTGCTAATGCACAGAACGTTTTCTTCGTCCACTTAAACCCATCCATGCCTCTCCCAAGCTCTCAGGCTAAAATACAGACCACTCCCCCAACCACCAGCCTGTTCTCCAGTTCCTTGAATGGGTAATGCTTTTCCTACCTCTAAGCCTGTGCACAGGCTGTTTCCTCTTCATAGCACACTGTTCCCCACTGCCCCATTCTTCTCCAGCTCCTGGCCTCAAGCGATCCTCCCACCTGGGCCTCCCACAGTGCTGGGGTCACAGGCATGAGCCACCACCCCGGGCCACCACCCCCAGCCCCCACTCTACTCTCCTTTGGGCTGGTTTCTCCTTGTCTCTCACGTCTCAGGCCCTCCCCACAACACTCCCCCTGGGGAGATGCCCCTTCTGATGTTCTCCTTCACAGCAGCTCACCACAGTGTGCATCTATTGACTGGTTCTTGTGCTTGCTTATTCCTCGCCATCTCTCCCACAAGTCTGTGCTCTTAATTACAGCAGCAGTACTAGGAACTGCAACTGACACTTCCATCAAATTCACTAAGCCTCAGCCTTGTTCTAAGCACTTTAAATATTTTAACCCACTTGGCTGGATGCGGTGGCTCACACCTGTAATCCCAGTGCTTTGAGAGGCTCAGGCAGGCGGATCACCTGAGGTCAGGAGTTTGAGACCAGCCTGGCCAACATGGTGAAACCCCGTCTCTACTAAAAATACAAAAATTAGCCAGATGTGGTAGTGCATGCCTGTAATCCCAGCTACTCAGAAGCCTGAGGCAGGAGAATCACTTGAACTGGGGAGGTGGAGGTTGCAGTGAGCCAAGATGGCGCCATTGCACCCAGCTTGGGGCACAGAGCGAGACTCCATCTCAAAAGAAAAACAAAAAACAAAAAAACAACTCAATCCCCATGATAATCTCATGAGCCCCGGTTTTCAGTTGAAGAAACAAAGGTTCAGAAAGGTGAAGTGACTTTCCCATGGTCACACAGCTGGTATGGGGCCAAGTTTCAAAACCAGGCAGCCAGGCTCCAGAATCTGTGTTCTGGGCCACTCTGGGGTCTGAGGCTTTCCCAAGGCTCTCCTGGGCCTGAAACACATGGCCCAGCTCATAGCAGGTACCAGCATGTAGTGATCCCAAGCACAGAGGCAAAGACCATGAATCCTGGAGCCAAACTGCCTGGACTTAAATCTACCTTCTGCTACTGTGTGTCCTTCAGCTAGTTACTTAACCTCTCTGAGCTTCTGTTCCCTCTCCTGTAAAATGGAGCTAATATGTTTCTACCTCAAAGGGTGGTTGAGAAGATTAAAACAATATCCATACATCCAGCACATTGTACACATTTAATAAATATTAGCTATTGGCCTGGTGTGGTGGCTCATGCCTGTAATCCTGACACTTTGGGAGGTTGAGGTGGGAGGCTAATGTGAGCCCAGGAGCTCAAGGCTACAGGGAGCTAACAGGACACCACTGCCTGGGTGTAGCAAGACCATGTCTCAAAACAAAAGTATATATTTAGGTGGGGCGCAGCGGCTCATGCCTGTAATCCCAGGACTTTGAGAGACCAAGGCAGAAGGATCGCTTGAGCTCAGGAATTCGAGAGCAGCCTGGGCAATATAGTGAGACACCTTCCACTACTAAAAATGGAATGTAAAAGAAAAAAATGTATTTATATTATAGACATGATTAATGAATAAAATGAAAAAAATTCCTTTCTGTGCTTGGCTTTCTGGGGTCTGTGCAAGGAATGGCTCAATCAGGATTGCAGAGTCAGAGGCACTGATGCACATTGAGTACTTTAGTGATTGATTGATTGATTTTTGAGAAGGAGTCTTGCTCTGTCACTCAGGCTGGAGTGCAGTGGCTTGATCTCGGTTCATCACAACCCCTGCCTCCCGCATTCAAGTGAGTCTCCTGCCTCAGCCTCCTGAGTAGCTGGGATTACAAGTGCGTACCACCATGCCTGGCTAAATTTTATATTTTTAGCAGAGGAGGGGTTTCACCATGTTGGTCAGGCTGGTCTCGAACTTCTGACCTTGTGAACCGCCCACCTCGGCCTCCCAAAGTGGTGGGATTACAGGTGTGAGCCACCGTGCCCGGCCACATTTAGTATTATTCATTCGATGGACACGCGTTTTTTGAGCACCTCCTCTGTGCCTTTCAAGACTGAGCTCCAACCAGCCCATTGCAGGATGGAGTTGTGGCTGGGGCTGGGGAGACCTGGTTCACCAGCTCTTCCCTGATCCCCTGGTCTCCCTGCCCCACTCTGCTCTATCCTGCAGCGTGGCCAAGTGCCTGGGTGCCAAGACAGTGGCCGCGCGGGCCCTGGAGTGCACGCGGGTATGCGAGATCCACTCCGAAGTGGTGGAGGATGCTGAGGCTGTGAGCGCTGTACAGCAGTTCCTGGGTGAGTGAACACCGTCCCCCACCTGGGCTTGGAGATCACAAAGTCCCTGCATCCTCTAGCAGGTGTGTGTTCGCTCTTGTCTGTATCCTCAGCACCAGGTGCTGGCTAGGTGTGCACTTACTATGCACTAAGTGCACTTTGAGTAGATGGAAGTGGGTGGGGGTAAAGGAGTGTGTCCTGCTGTCTCTAGCCCCCAGAATTTTATACATGCTCCTCCTCTCTCTGGCCCTGTCCCTTTTGGTTTTATGTGACTAAGGGCTACTCAGCCACCATGGCACCTCCTCCAGGAAGCCTCCCCTGATCTCCCACCCTACCCTGCCTAGGTTGGGGACCTCCAATGCACCACTCCCTGTGTTCATAACTTCCTGGTTTTTATCCATTTACATCATAGATTGTGAGCCCCATGAGGGCTTGTGTGTTTCAGTCACCGATGTATCCCTAGGGCTTTCTTGGCACAGGGCATGGCAGGTTGTAGGCACTCAGATGTTTGTTGACTGAAGGGATGAATGTATGAGTGAGTTGAAAGGTGGATAATGGATAAATGGACAGTGGATGGAAGGACGGATGGATGATGAAGTGATGGATTGATGAATGGAATATAAATAGATGGATGGACAGGCACATTGATTAATGAACATGTTGACGGATAGACAGTCAAATGATGGATAGAGGAATGGATAGATGGTTATGAATGGGTGGATGGATGGGTATGTTGATGGATGGGTACACTGATGGATGGACAGATAGTCTAATGAGGGATAGAGAAATAGATGGATGGATAGAGAGATAAAAGGTGGGTGGGTGGAGGGGTAGGAGGCCAGGCTGATGGATGGGGAGAGAGTGAGACAAGTGATGGATTGCCAGCCGAGCAGATGAATGGCTGGCTGGCTGGAGAGATGGCTGCAAGGGTCTGCAGTGCTCAGGACCCGCTGAGCACTGACTGTTCTTCCCTTTGCCTCCTCTCCCATCCCCCTGGTCCCGGCAGATGACGAGCGTGTGCTGGTGGAGCCTGCCTGTGGGGCAGCCTTAGCAGCCATCTACTCAGGTCTCCTCAGGAGGCTCCAGGCTGAGGGTTGCCTGCCCGCTTCCCTGACTTCAGTTGTGGTCATCGTGTGTGGAGGTAACAACATCAATAGCCAAGAGCTACAGGCTCTGAAAACCCAGCTGGGTCAGGTCTGAGGGCCCAGCCTAGAAGAGCCTGAGAGGTACATGGAGACTCCTGTGGCTAAATGAGTGGGGCTCAGTGCTGGTGGGTGGCAGTGGAAGCTGCCCTGTGCATCTGTGCTGGGTGCCTCCTGAAGGAATCCCTCCCGGACTGCCCCTTTTGGCTCCCTGACAACTCCAGCCAATAAACACTTTCTGAGTTGAGTTTGTAACTGCTGTGGATCCGATCTTTCCAGTTCCATGAGCTCACAGGAGACAACCCACAATCCTGTTGCCAATTCTGTGTTAAAGTGACTCCAAGCCCCATCTTAGGCAACAAAACCAAGGCTTGAAAACCTCAGTCTCTAAAGGAATCCAACCATTCTGAGATCTTAAATGAGCTTCCTTTACCTGGAGGACCAGCCCAGGTTGACCGGGTCAGGAAAGAGAGGGAGATGTTCTGTCAGTTCTCAGGCCTGGGAGGAGAGGAAAATATCACCTGTCTTCATCCAGTGCTTGTTATGTACCAGAAACTCTTTCTACTCATTGTCTAATGTTCACAAAGGTACTAGAAAGTAAAAACCACTATTACCATCCCTGTGTTACAGATGCAGAAACTGAGACTTGGGATGTTTACATAACTTGCCCAAGATCACATAGTTAGCATATGGGATCACTTGTCTCCCTCCATCCATCAACCTGATCACCTATCCCTCTACCCATCCATCTTTTATCTCTCTATCCATCCATCCATCCATTCCTGTATCCATCATTAAAGTGTCTGTCCATCCATCAGTGTATTCATCTATCCACTTATCCATCCATTCGTCTATCCATAATCCATTCATCCATAATTCATCCATCTATTCATAAGCCATCCACTCATCCATCAATTCATCTATCTATCCTTAGACTGTCTGTCCACCCATGCATCCATCCACCCATTCCTCTATCCATCATTAGACTGTCCGTCCATCAGTGTATCCATCCATCCGCATATCCATCCATTTGTCTATAAACCATCCATTCACCCATCCATAATCCATTCATTCATCTACCAATCCATCCATCCACCCCTATCCATCATTAGACTGTCTGTCCATCCATCAGTGTATCCATCTATCCACATACCCATCCATTCATCTATAATCCATCTATCCATCTATAATCCATTCATTCATTAATTCCTCTACCTATCATTGTACCAATACATCAACATATCCATCCATCCATAATACATTTATTCATCTACAATCCATCCATCCACCCTTCTATCCACCATTAGACTGTCCATCCATCAGTGTATCATCCATCCACATATCCATCCATTTATCTATAATATATCTATCCACATCCATCCATTCATCTCTAATCCATCCATCCATCCATGCATCCATTCACCCATTCCTCTATCCAACATTAGACTTTCTGTCCATCTGTCAGTGTATCCATCCATCCATCCATGCATCCATTCATCTATAATCCATTCATCCATCTGTAATCCATTCATTCATCAGTTCCTCTATCATTGTATCAATCCATCAACATATTCATCCATCTATCTATAATCCATCCATCCATTCACACATTAACATATTCATTCCTCTAGCCATCATTAGACCATCTGTGCATCCATCAATCGACATATCCATTTATCCAGATTCAAACTGATTTTCAGGGTCACTCTCTATTGCTTCAATCTGAACTATCTGCGTGGGGGTGGGTGGTGGTGGAATACTGAAGAAAGGGAAGGGAAGGGTAGCTCGATCTGGACGCGCCTGTGGGTCACAGAGAGAGGCAGGTTGTATGCTTGGAATTGGGTACCTCTAGCTTCTGGGAAGTCTCTCTTAGGAAGCCGGATGGAAAGTTGCACTCCTCCGAGCCACAGGGGGGCAGCAAAGTGTCTCCTATGGGGAAGGCTGGCTCCAGGCAGGAGAGACCCTCCCCTTGGGTCCTCCTGGACACTACTTCTTGTGGGGCGCTCACCCCAGTTGGGCATGCTGAGGTCCACACGGTCTTGGCATACAGGAGCCTTTTCCAACCCCTCACAGCCCTGCCAGGAAGCGAAGCTCAGAGAGTACAGGGTCTGTGCAGCATCACATGCCCTGGCAGAATTGGATCCTGGGCCCCAACAACATCTTGTCTCCTGACTCCTGTGGGCTGTGTGACCTTGGGCTAGTCTCTTTCCCTCTCTGGGCCTCAGGCTGCACCTCATGCTGTAGGAGACCCACTTGCCACTTCCCACCTCTTTTCCTTTGCTCAGGCTGTTTCCTTCGCCAGATGCCTCCTCCTTTTCCTTCTTTGTTTTTTAGGGAAAGGACCTCACTCTGTCACCCAGGCCAAAGTGCAATGGCACAATCATAACTCACTTCAGCCTTGAACTCCTGGGCTCAAGCAATCCTCCTGCCCCAGCCTCCCGAGTAGGTTAGGACCACAGGCATGTGCCACCACACCCAGCTAATTTTTAAATTATTTTTTATAGAGATGTGGTCTTGCTCATTGCCCAGGCTGGTCTTGAACTTCTGCGCTCAAGCCATCCTCCTGCCTTGGCCTCCCAAAGTACTGGGATTACAGGCACCATGCCCAACCCCTCCTTTTCTGAAGAGCAGAATTTGAGAGCAACCGTGACCTCCCTCTGTGCCCCTGCTGCCTTGGTCTCATTTTCTCTTTAACCCCAGACGTAACTTTTGGTAGCCAGGGACCATCCCCTCACCATTCCTGCCGCCCACCAGTTCCAGAAACCCCCATGAGTCAGTCCCATTTGCTTGGAGTCATGCTTTGTGAATTCCCCAAACAGAGGAGACATGAAGAGCACCAGAGTTGGATGCAGCCAGACCTGAGCCTGGACTCTTCCTGCTTAGCAGCCTGGCCACCTTGAGCAAAGGACGCTCCTTCTCAGTGCCTCAGTGTTCTCCGCTGTAAAATGGGTGGTTGGGGGATTGTTACTACGGACCCGACATATCTAGTCTTTCAAGAAATATCTATTCTTCCTGAGCATTCTTCCCCAAACAATGAGAGGAACTAGAACTGGTTCATGTATTGAGCACCTACAGTATGTTATGGACTTCAGCAGCTACTTCATTTAATCTCACAATAACCCACATGGTAGATACTATTATTATCCCCATTTTGCAGATGAGGAAACTGGGGCATGGAAGAGTTAAGCCACTTAGTAAGGGTCACCCAGCTGTATGGGAGCCCCAATAAGTGGAAATCTGAGGCTTATGAGTCTAACCACTCTGGCTCATACACTTCCTTTCCTTTGCTTAAGCTCTGTCCCCTGCCTGCCATGCCTGCTCTGCTTCTGAATCCTACACATTCTTCACAGCCCAGCATGAGTGCAGCCTCCTCCCTGAAGCCTCCCTGGATTGCTTTAGCCAGCGATGATAGTCCCCCAACCCATGCTCCTCCAGGTGAGGTGCCGAGCCCACCTCGGCTCCAGGTGCTCCGTCTCCCAGCCGGGCACCCTCCACCCCACCCACAGTCTCATGCTGTTGGCTCCCTTCCTGGGAGACTTGTCAGCTGCTGTTTACATCTCTCCTGGTCTCAATGAGTTGGAGATAAGAAGCCGAGGGGGCTGTTGACCCTGTCCAGATAACACATGTCAATTAACTCAGTTTAGCCCTTCCTGGTTGACACCCAAGGAATGCAGAGACTAGGATGAGGCACAGGGAGAGAGCCAGGAGACGGGGGAGTGTTTGAAGCTGAGTCCACGGCTGCTATGATGCGTAGCTTGGAAGGCAGAGGCTCTTCTGATTCTGCTTCTGCCTTCTTGGCCTCTCAGCTGGGGAAATGCAGAGCTGGGGCCTCTCTGTTTGTCTAGGCTGCATAAAAACACTGCAAACTAGGACACCAGCTGTGTGTCTGCCTGAGATGTGCCAGCCTCCCACCCTAGCTGGGGTCCCTCTCTTGAGGCTGCGGGCCCCTTTGGCTCCCTGTGCAGCTGAGGCTCCCTCTGTCCTCTCACCAGATGACCCTAACACCCCCCGACTCCAGGGTTCTCACCTCCATCTAGTCCTCCTTCCTTTCTTACTTCTTCTTCTTCTTTACTGACAGAGTCTTGGTCTGTTGCCAGGCTGGAGTGCAGTGGTGCAATCTCAGCTCGCTGCAATCTCTGCCTCCTGGGTTCAAGTGATTCTCCTGCCTCAGCCTCCTGAGTAGCTGAGATTACAGGCACCTGCCACCACACCCAGCTAATTTTTGTATTTTTTAGTAGAGACGGGGTTTCACCATTTTAGTCAGGCTGGTCTCGAACTCCTAACCTCAGGTGATCCACCCGCCTTAGCCTCTGAAAGTACTGGGATCACAGGCGTGAGCCACGTGCCTAGTGGTCCATCTAGTCCTTCTAGTTTTACAGCTAGGTGACAGGGAGGCTTGGAATCTTACCTTTCATGGGAAAAGGAGGTGCACTCACCCCAAAGCTGGCCCCAGGTAGGGCAGGGACATGAGGAGGGGGATCCAGGGTCAGGCCTTCTCCTCCCCAATCCCATCCTCAGCCTTGGCAGGAGCCCAGTCCTGGGCAGAGTAAATGTTCCAGCACCTGCAGAGGATGGTCTCACTCTCATGCAGGGAAGTGATGGCTCAGACTGACTTTGTGTCTTTGTCTTTTTGGGGTGCTATAACCAAGTGCCATAAATGGGGCGGCTTAGAAACACAGTTCTGGAGGCTGGGAAGTCCAAGACCAAGGTGCCAGCAGATTCGGTGTCTGGTGAGGACCCGCCCTAATCAGCAGTCATCTTCTCACATTGCCCTACCTTGATGGAAGGATCTCTCTCAAACCTCTCTTAATTTTTTAATTTTTTTGGGGATGGAGTCTCACTCTGTCACCCAGCCTGGAGTGCAGTGGTCCAATCTCAGCTCACTGCAACCTCCGCCTTCTGGGTTCAAGTGATTCTTGTGCCTCAGCCTCCCAAATAGCTGGGATTATAGGCACATGCCACCATGCCTGGCTAATTTTTGGTAGAAATGGAGTTTCACCATATTGGCCAGACTGCTCTCGGACTGCTGACCTCAAGTGATCCACGTGCCTCAGCCTCCTAAAGTGTTGGGATTACAGGTGTGAGCCACCATGCCTGGCCTCAGACCTCTCTTATAAGGCACTGATCCTTATAAGGTCCTCTCTCCATGGCCCAGTCACCTCCCAAAGGTCCCACCTCCTAAAACCATGGGGGTCAGGGTTTCAACCTGAATTTTGGAGGGACACAAACATTTCGACTGCAGCACTTCGTACCCT